CGTTGCCTTCCGTCATCGGCGACCACTACATGGCGTTGCTGACGCCTTTAACTACGCGAATACACGTCTAAAGTCTGTTTACCATTTTCTTACTTTCCTTAAGATGTACTCTAAATATTTTTATATTTCTCTGATCAGTATTAGTTACTTTATCGAGTCATCAGACTCTGGTTGAGAAGTATCACGTGGTCGATCTTCAGTGACCTTTTGTATATGAAGGAAGCATTGCTATTTGATTTTGCCCTTACCGTTTCGGTAGAAATTTTCTCTAAATTAATTATCATGTTCAACAGCTATTGATAATTGTACATAATTGAAATTATATGTTTCACCTGATAAAATTACTTATAGAAATTAAAACACGCAGTATTATTTTAATTCTACCGTACGATCACGTGCTCTCACGTGAATCATTTGTTATTATTACTTAAATATGTTTTGCACTTGTATTTCTAAATTTTATAATGATGGAACATGAGTTCAAATCCCACTGTCGTAAATGTACTTTTACAATTTATTTTAAGATGGTGACTTATTTTGTTTTTATTTACATAATGCATGACTCACCTCTTCAAATGATTCTAGAATAAAGATAATAATTAATTATGAAAATATTACGTGTGCAGGATTGTCTATCAACACTGATAATCTAAATACTTATGAATCTTGCTTGGCAATTGCTGTCTTTTGAACTAAAATTATTTAATACATCGTCAGATTTTTGGCGGGAAATTACTAATCAGTCGACAATGATATCTAATCTTACCTTATTTGACTACATTCAACAGAAACATTTGAACTAGTATTATAAATATTAATAAGAGAGCATCTGTTTAGTCGCACTTTGATTCTTATGTGCCTATATGGAGACACTCGGTTTTAGTTGTGCAACTAAACAGTTGAATACGCTGCTAAACAATTGACAATGGCACGTCAAGTGTGCGATAATTTTGTCAAATGTGTCCGCCCGCTCTAAAGCAGTCTATGTTAGATATTCAGCATTATATCTAGATCTAGTACATTTGTGTGTCGCGTCCTTGTCGCACTGGTGTTTGCATGTGTGCGTGTCCTATACGATTGTTATTGTCGAGTATGTGTAAACACGGCTCGAATCATGTGCACCGAATGTTGACACTATGCACTAAATCAAACGCGCGCTCGTAAATTATTTTAACAGCTTCCATTTTGTCTCTATATCTTATCAGAGCGCGTGTCGAAGATGTTCCCATGCTAATTACGAATTTATATTGTCATGTCATCGTCATTAATTAATTACATTTTAATGAGATAATCAAAATAATTAATGAAACGCATTTAATATCTGTAACTGGTATTGGATTTATAAGATAAATTAATATTTCTACACTAGTATTGTGTTCATGTAAGTTAATAGTTTAGTTTGCACAGTTGTGTTAGTTATCTTTTATAAAATTATTGTTTAATAACATTATCAATTGACAAATATTGCTTACATCTCAATAATGAATTTCTGTATTCATTTGTTTCGGTGAGACAAATCCGGAAAAACTGGACATTCAACGTAATATTGCACTAACTGCTTACGAATTCGTTCGAGGACTTATAAAATAGTAAAAAATAAAACCTATGTTATGTTACTCAGAGATAACATAACTTTTAATGGTAGAAGAATTTTTGAAATCCACCCAGAAGTTTTTGAGTTATTTCAATATATACGAAAATGTAAATCTTTCCTATTTATAGATATACCAATAGTTTTATGGATAGATGTTTAGGACAAATAAAATGCTTTTAAAATTAAGAAGGCACTTTTGAAATCGTCGTCTAAAGTCTTAAGTCAAAGAAGAAGAAAAAACTTACATTTTAGGCGGGTATTTCTTTTAACGTATGAAATTACTTCAATGACTTATTTTAATATGTCCCCACGTTTCTCGATCTATAGATAATTCTAGAAACTATAACAATAGATATTGAAATTGTATTGCGACAATACACTTCATAGTAAACCGTAGAAAATGTAGCGTCATATGTAATAGTAGTTTTCCAGTTTTATATAATAGTATTGTCTAGACTTCAGACCTGTAGTCGGCAAACATCAAAGTGTAAACTACTAAACGAATGTTTTCCTTCGATTCTGTATATCTTATCTATGTACTTCATTCGAACTTGATTGAAAATTAATTATGGTGAAATAACAAAATATACAAATTGAACTTGAAATTTTACGTATTAACAATGATAACATTATTTATTATGAATCATCGTATTTTACAGAATTTCCCATATGCTTGAAATATTTAACTACGATATTTTTATCATTTTCCAATTTTCATAGTATAAAGTATAGAAATTATCTATGTTAAAATCACAATGAAATGATTTCTTCAACTCTGCCTATTTATTTCATGATTTGTGTAATTGTGTCAAAATGTTGAACTCCTTATAGAGTGAATAAGAATATTAATCCAAATAAATGTATTCATCCGTAGAATTTTAATATTCCTTAATACCTTCGTGTCCAAATATGATTCAACAATGCATAAGAATGACAAGAAGTGTCATCAAAATTCCCCGAAAATGACCCACAAGACATGGTCCCTCGGACGTATCCGGACACTATGTGACTAATGTTTCCAAGATAAGATTATGATTTTGACACTAAGTGTACACCTTAGAGCGGGCGCACACATTTGATTATCACATAACTGTGCAGTCCCGCTTTAATTCCCATAAGCTTATAAGAACGTGCGCACACTATTCGATTTTTAGTTGTGTAACTAAACGGTTGAATTGGTTGCGAAACAATTGACAATCGCACAACAGGTGTGCGATAGTTTAGTCAAAGGTCAACAACTTGAGCAAAAATAAGCAGGAAACCTATTTTAATAATTTTGCGTAAAATGTTATCAGTATTTTAGTTAGTAACAATGGTCGTATGCAGGATTTCAACCGGTTTTTACGTACAGAGTGATTCATGAGTCATATTTGAATATTTATTGTAATTTAACAAGGTAAATTTTGTGTAAATTAGTTAAAATGACGACAGTATTGAAAGAATAAGACGTAATAGTTATTTCGATATTATGCTTAGTTGTTGAAGTTTTGATTTATTTTATCTCTACTTATTAATTCATTAGTATTCGGTTTACCTAAGTTTCAACGGAGTAAAACTCAATTTACGTAGTTCGGAAACGTATTCTACCAAGTTATCGGACCAAAAATACTAATGAACGGTTAAATGTAGTTAGGAAACCGGCCATAAAACATTTATTTTATAGTATTGCCAGTTTGATTCCTTGGTTGGTCTAACATATATTTATTTAATAAAGCCTCTAGCTGGTAACTACATTAGTGTTCATACAAAATTGAATTGGCAGTTGTAACATGGTAACTAAACGGTTTATTACCCTTTTGAATTGTACGCGTGTCGACTTCACAACTTGCTCTTAGACTTATTGTTATCGTTTAATTTTATGTGTGCACGCTACTTCATAGATTTTTCCACGCTTGTACCGCGTGAGCCTCGGCTGGCGTTGCGGCAGTAAAAATATTTGTTTACGAGTGAAATTATAATTTTATACGGAGAGTCGTCTAAATGGAAAAAGTAAAACGATATAGTAATTAAAAACAAACGCATGTTTTAACCGCACTGGTGTAAACAGACATACTATTCGGTATTTCAAATTTAAACTTTGGACTTTTGAAAATTCTTTGGCCTTTAGTTGATTATAAATAATACATTATAAACCTATGTATGTAGAAGTTATCGTTTGTAAACAACAGCGATTTTTTGATAACTGTTTTTCTTAAAAGGGAGACTAAAAGCTTCTATAAATAGAAAACTTTTGGTCTTTGGACAAATTTCATTGTGAGTGTTGTGTTTGTGCCTTGTAACTGATTACGTGAGCTTAGTGGAGTTACGAAAGTACAATACGTCTTGTACTGAAACAAATTTAGCTTGCTGCAAGAAGGAAGCGGCAATGCATCGAATGGTGGCATTTGCGATCACTGGATGTGACAACGAAGAAGGAGAAATTCGTAAAAAATAAATATGAAAGTTAATCTATCACTTAATGACATTTTCGTCACTTTAACTAAGCGAATTCTTAATTCAAATTAATGCAAATTTGCACTTAAAGTATGAGCGTGTAATATAAAGATTGCGCAAAAACAGTGCACTTTAAACTCGACAAATTAGTACAGTTACTTTAGAAAAACTACGGTCCATTCTAGGCGGTGTATCTCCGTGGTGCATTTGGTAAGACGCGTAGTGAAAGTGATTGCGCGGATGTCGCGTGCGAGCCGCCGACCTTGCCATATACGAACCTCGCACCCGCCGGCGCATCGCAGGCCGCCAGGGTTGCCAGTTGGAAAAAACATTGAGAACACAACAAGGGCATCTACAAAAAACTAGCTTCAATCAACTCCAGTCACAAAGATTAAAACACCAATATTTCTCTGTATGCTAAAACATGGATTATAAAAACATTTTATTGTAAATAATATTGTAATACAACCTTTATCTTTTGTTATTTCAAAACACTTGACAACCCTGACCGCTGTGATCTTCGCCGCTGCGACATTAACCTTGAAATAGTTTCTTACCTGCCTTGGTGATGAGGCAGGTTAGCAGTTGGATAATTATGATTCTTGACAATACCTTACTCTTCTTGTAAATGACTTGGGTAAACAGTAATTATTAGCTTTCTCATTATTTAACTGCACCTTCATTTTTTCATAATTCCTCCAACCAATTTCAAGATTTTTTAACAATGTTCAATCTACATTGACATCTAAAGTTGTTACTATTTTATTCACTGCTGCCATTGTACAATACCTCAGTCTCACATGAACCGACAAAGTGTGTTTACTTCCGCTACCGTTATCTTATAGTTCCGTATAAATACTAGCTATTATCATTGGTTTTTAGTTTCAAAATGACAAATTTTTGATATATAAATGTAAGTCTACAGTCGATATTGTCTATTGACATTCATATTTGGACTTTTTTATATTATAAGGTGGCAAACGAGCAAGCGGGCACCTGAATCCGCCGGAATAGCGAAGCGAACGCTGCCCATAATCCGCAGAAATACAAGGTAATAAATGTAATCTTTTGTTACATTTAGAATTACTTAATTAACAACCAGCATTCGAGAGTATCCTATGTGTTCTTCCACGTCTATGCCAAATTTACTCGAAATCGAATTAGCCGTTTAGGCTACAAACTCTAACAAATATCCATCCATCCACCAAGCCATCCACCTAAACTTTTACATTTATAATATTAGTATGATTTTTCTATCTCAATGAGGTTAAAATTTTGCTTGTTTTAATTTAGACAAAGTAAACAATGAATCAATGTGTCAGTGTATTTTTACTCTTTTACCTTCGTCTAACCATGAACCGCGACGAGGTAACATAACGAAATATCTGTTTCTAAACTTTGAAAACAGTTGATTTCTCAAACATATAATGCCGAGATATCATTTGTATTAAAGTGAAAAAAATGCTATGTAACAAGGAAACGCGCTTGCGAAACTCGTTTGAATCTGTTTGTATCACCTGTGTAGACTATGGCCGATGTCACTGCGATCACGTGGTCGCTATGACTTTGCCGTTTGTAATGTCGCAATCATATTTCATATCTCGATTTAGTAATTGTTCTGGATTCATGCGGTTATTGTTCTATTAATAATATTTCACAATTAACACCAGTTCCTGGTTAGGAATTGTCCGCTTCTGTTGAGTTCTGTCTTCCGTTAATGTTAATTGATTCTACTACTAGGAATAGCATTTAATGTTTTTTCATTTTACTTTTTTATACTTTTTTTTATAATTAGTAGTGTTTCAAGAATGGAACATAAATGTTACATTCGTTGTAAATCTTGACTGCGTATGACGGATAACTTTGAAAGCAACACTTGCCTGCCTACTATAATGACCAAAGTACAAATACTTATTATATTGATGAAATTATTTTCGTTTACATAATTACAGACGTGTGGAGTTATAGAAGCGTATATTGGCAAATAGTGCGTATTTGTTTCGGGGCCGCGTTAGAACGGGCGACCTCTCGCCTCACGCCTGCGCTCCACAACTAGCATTGAGGCATTTACCTTTCCTAGGTCGGACTTGTCCTCAATACACGCTTGAAGCGTTGATTTATTGCGATGCATGGAATGCAGCTTTGGTTGAGAGACAAATTTTGTAATAAACTCCTAAAGTGACATATTTTGAGAGAATGCCTACTTTAGTAAGACTTGGCTTATTCGAAAATTAAAGCATTACTTAAAAAAATAGGCTAATGTTTCTAAAGATTGTTTGGTATGATTGATTACGATGAAATTTGGCATAGATATAGAGCATAGCCTGGAAGATCACATAGGCTACTTTTGTTTTTTTTTTAATTCTACGCGGTCAGTGTCGCGGGCGACAGTTTTTTGTATAAGCAAGATAACTGCCCAAAAAATATCTTAAAAGTTGTACCTTCGAGTATCCTAAGCTACGTTGATCAATCTTATTTGAAATCAACATTTGCATGCCGTATTTACTAAACTCCATAAAAATAAAAAAGCACTGACCAATTAAAGCTATAAAATGTTCTAAGAAATCTCAAGAATTCGAATCGTTTATATTAAATCGCTACTAAAATCGTTACATTAAATTTATTTAGTGCATTATGTTTGAGTAAATAAAAGAAACAATTAATTAAAATTAGTCTTTTAATATGTTAATTTTAATTTTATAAGGTGGGAACTGTAATAATTTTTATATATAACCTGAACACGTGTTTTATTGCCTTGTTTTCAATGATTTTCAACTATCGAATGTTTCCGGATAGTAGTTGAGTTTTCATTGTTCATATTTGAAGCTGTGATTACTACAATAATTTATTAACATTTTCGGAACCATATTTTTTATTATTAAAGTGACTTGTAATATGCCTTTTGACTCGTTTTTGACTCGTGTTAATAAATTGTCCCTTGTTAATAATACTAACTGTAATAGTTAGCAAATAAGCTTGAATTTTCGCTTAAATAAACTTTATATTTATTCCTATTTTCCTCAGGCTAAGTTTATAGTAGAATTAACAACTATATTAGGTCTATTAAAGGTTTGTTTAGTATTTTAATAATCTTTTAAAATCTGAAAAGTTTGTGATAACTCTATGTCATTGGGGTGCAAGGCCTAAAGAATAGTAAAGTAAAGATTGGTTAATGATATCTGACCCTAAGCCTAGCCTAGATTGTAGCTATCATTGTATTGCTATCATTTATACATATAATAAAATTGGACTATATGTTTGTAATGTCAAAGTAAAAATTCCAGATTTCGGGAAGATGATGTATTTGCATTGCTGATAACGAAAATCGCATTTAACATTTTTTGTCTGTCTGTCGGCAAGCCGCGTTTGTTCCGGGTAATCTCAGAAACGGCTGGTCTTATTTCGACCGGACTTTCACTGAAGGGTAGCTGACATAGACGGGCATATTATAGGCTACTTTTTTATGTTATTATTGCGTGGACGAAGTCGCCGCCAACACTTAGTCTAGCATAATGTAATATAACAGTTAGCAGTTTTAGGTTTAGATCTACTAGTAAAGTGTCAAATTTTTTCATGGAACAGTGTACACATGTAATAGTTATGTAAACAAAATGTTAAAAAAACCGCTACTCACATGCTTTTATCTTGTATCTACAGTTAATGATGATTCCGTCATTTATTTGCATTTACATTTCATTACCTTTGAAATAACGATAGAATTGGACTAAATGGAGGCTGTTGTATAAATACGCTATGTTTTGATCTACAAGTATTTTGCTTATACAAGTACTTATTATTAAAAAATATATAATTACTAGATTAAGAGCCGAATACTGAAACAAACCTTAAATACTATGGTCCAAATATTTAGCAATATAGAGACGACACCAAGCATTAGAACGCGAGTCTTGCATTTGTGACATGGCAAAACATGCACGAAAGGTATTGGGTAGGAATGTTACTATTTATGTTAGTTAGTCTTAAACATATCTAAAAATAAAATTTATAAGATTTACTCTAGCTTTGATATCATCTAGATTTTTACCGCTTACTAATAGTAGCAGTAATTTAATTCTATAACATCAGTTAAAAAAAAAAGTTGGAAAATTTACGTCAAGAAGTGTGACATTATTGGAATTATCTATTCAAATGTGTTCAGTAATTGAAAATTAATTCAATAAGGACGGTGACTGAAGGAAATTTTTGAGGTTAAATTTAAATCGAAATAAAAAGTTTCGGAATTAAGTAATCAGAATAAAAAACCGTGGAGTATTTTAAGTCGAATAGATTTATATACGTGTTTGTTTTGTTTTTATTAAATTCGTTCTTGCTTAATAGATGCTGTATAGTTTTTATTATTCCTTTATTTAGCTTGTACTCTATTTACAATATTTTATCTAAGGAAGTAATCTTTATCCGACATTAATACCTTTTGTAACCGCTTGGTAATAACATTGACACTAGACTTGCCTTAAGTTAAACACTTTCAGCGGGAAAAAATAAGCGATTACGACAATCATATATTTAGTATTTATAATTCGTACCCATTTTTGATTTTGACCTATAAGATGTCTAATAAATCTAGAAAACTGTTTAATCTTTAAAAGTTTACTTGATTTTAATACTGAGATTGTTGCTTTTAGTTTCCTTTCTGCTTGTCGTATTGAGATTGGTTCAAATTGTGACACTAAAGTTATATTTAGCTAAAAATCATCTAGAAGCTTCTACATCACTCTTGTACGTTTTTGTTCGACATATTTTTCAAATCCTATTTCCGCGTCAGTTTATACTTTGGGCGTCGTAATGATATGTCCGACATTGAACGCTCGACCCGATTAAGCATAGCAGATGAGTCGCGAGGTCGCTGCGCACTCTCTGTCCCGCTCAACCTCACTCTTATCGTTTATTCAACAATATTCACTTGCAACCAGAGGGCAACAATAGCAACTGCAGTATGACATTTGATAAAGATGAGTGTAACAGCATGTTAAATAGTTAACATTGCCTAATAAGTTTGTCAACTTCATCAACTTGCCCTTGTCCCTGCGGTGGGTCTGCACAGTACGTGCTCTTCCTTACATTTCTATCAGACGTCACACCTGAAATTACTCCTTTCTTGAGCAAATCTTAATTCCCATCCGTTTATTTATATTTTCTTCGATCTTCCACTACCTTTGCAGCCATCTTTCTTTCTTAATACTTCCTTGTATATGTCCTTATTATTTCGCCGCATATAAAGATACAATAGTAAAAGTATCCGTACTATATCCATTGTTTTTAGAAATGACATCTTTTATTCTGACTGTACCTTAAATCTAACTAAGGGTAAATATTCTTATTGGGCTAGTATATCAAGATAATAGTTCCGTCACGTACATGACAAGTACGTAACACCTTATTTTACTCTACAATGACTATGACCTGCAGTGTACAAGAATCATAGCATTAATACATTCCACGGTAAAATGTAATCTAGTTCTGTGTTAATACAATTGTTTTTCGTTCCACTTCTAATGTTTTTTGATAATCATCATTGCGATGTCATTTTATGTTATCAATCTCTTAAATATAATACGTTAGTGTTGAAGTAATACATACAATGTTAATTAGGACAAAGTATTGTTATCTGATTAAGGCCTATGGATAAATTTTAATAGATAGACAAGAAATATGTTTCGATGTTATGACGTAGTTCGAATAAACACTACTGAGTCATTACAATTGTAATTGAAATTTTATCAAGTAAGCAATTTCAGTTACTTGTAACTTGTTTTTATAACAATATAAAGTCAGTGCTTGAAACACTTGCTTCGATGGTGCTTGACCACAGTCAAGCATTGACCAAGTAACCGCACCTGACATTAAGTGGTAATGGATCTTAGATACTAAGGTACCTAATTTACCGAACGATTTGAAAACCTTACAAGAAACAAGAAACAGATACAATCAAAATCCTTTAAGGATCTAATCCTAAGAATCCTCAATTTTTTAGACTCTCTTTGTTGATGTTGCTACATGCAGTTGAATTATTCTCACTCTAGCTGCTATCCC